TAATTATTGATTTAATTTGAAAAACGTGTGAATATTTTATGCGAAATATTTTTATTTTTAAATATGAATTACAAGTTTAGTTATATTATTATATTCTAAGTTTGTGTTAAATATAGACACAATTCTCGTAATACTAACGACTAGTATATGGAAATTAGATTTTATATTGTAATTAATATATCATATTGTTATACATTATAAAATAATCGTGATTATTTTGGAAATATTTAATATAGAGTTTATAGCGTGTGCTTTAAATTTTGTTTAAAATATTTTAAAATATAAATGCAATTTATGTTAATTTGCAAACTGATATCAGGTAAATATGTAGACGTGGTTCTCTTCGTCTACACGTTATTATCTATTCTTCCGAGTCTTACCACCGATTGTCCTTCAATTAGCGGCCAAACTATCGATTCTAATACTAAAAGTACCAGAATTTGGGACCAAAATGACGCGAAACTCACTCTTTTGCCCACAATTATCACAACAACTGATTCTTCCTTCAAATGCTTAATCTTAAGACACGAAGAACTCGAAACAGAAGTACTTCCAGAGGAATAAAGTCTTATTATAGCTCTGAATCACAAAATACAACGAATTTAATCTTAAAACTCAATGTATTCTCAATTCAAACGCATTTGAATTGAATTTCAAATCTATTATTACTTTAATTAAAAAACACTTTAATTTAAAATAACAAAACTTTTATTAAATGTCTTGAAAAAGACAATTTGTTTTACACTTTTTAATAGCAATTATAGTAGAAATTAAAACTAAAATTCAATTAAAAGTCAATTTATAAAACTTATAAAAAGGAGTCAAAAATGAGAATCACATGAAAGACTTGTTTCACTCGATTGCAGACAAAGACTCTTAGAAATAGATCTTAAGGTTGATCTGATCTTCGGTGGATTCTTCCACTCTCGAGGACCTCAACAATAAGACAATCACTTTAACAGTTCCAATCATTTAGTGAATCCTTACACTAAGACTGGTCTAACTGTGAGTCAACTGTTGTATTCAAAAGTGAAACAAAGACTGATAGGAAAAGCATTGAAAGGGCTGTAAGTTTGGGTCAATTGACCACAAAATAGTCGTTACTTTAAAAGTTTGAAAACTATTGGCTGAGAATCGGGTCTAAAGTCCTGTAACTGTGGGCTTAAAGTTTAGGTCAATGACAGGTAAGTGTATATCAGGTATTGTATATGTGTTTCAATGGGAATGATATATATTGTGTTGTGTATAGTGTGTTACAAATGAGACATCTATTGATAATATTAATAATAATAATAATTAATTACTTACAAACTTTGTCTAATTTTAACTTAAGAGGAATCTCTTCTACAAATATTATTGTGAGTTACTGTTTAATGATGTCAATCCTTAGTAAATGAAAAATAAGCCAATATTTATAATTTAATAAAAATACTTTTATTTTATACCAAATAATATTATTTATAAATTATGATAAATCATATTAAAATAATAACTAATTTTATTAATAGGTAATAATGAGCTTAAATAATAAATTTGAGGTAATAATAAGTTAATGTATTAGTAACTAATAAATAATATTAACTAATATTAATTACAATGATCTTGTCTTACTTTTCTACTATTTAAAAACTGCTGCCACATCTTACCAGTTAGACATTTGTTTTATAGTTGTATTAAGAAATATGTATTTTGAAATTTTACCTTAATGTCTAACAGTATTTGTTATCTAATGTGTTTTAGACATTCACGAATTTTGTAGATATTCAGCATCATTATCATTTGATTTTTTAAATTTATGTGAATAATAAATAACATTTTAATTGTAGTTATTAATCGCATTAAAATGATTATAAAAATGATTTCAAAATTATACAAATGTTGCAAATTTGGCATTTTGGTAATATTTATTGCCAATACCTACTGGCTATAACTTAACCAACATTTTAACCAATATGTTGTTTATAGAAACCCTTTGCCATTTATATGTTATCGATTGTCTGTTTGTAAAATATATTAATATAATGAAGAGAACCGCTAATTGGACCGAAAGTTATCATCACAAATGAAATATTGCTTTTAAAAACACTAAAATTATACTAATTTATATATTTGTGAATATATTTCTTGTAAATTCTAAATTATTAGTTTAAAATCATTTAACATAATATTTATCAGTATTAACATAGTAACATGTTAAATACTAAATATAAGTAATACAACTTTTTATTTAATCTTTGGCACAAATGCTATATAATTAGAGATCTGTATCACAATTGCATATCAATTGTGAACTAATATAATAACAAATTGAGAGAGAGAGAGAGAGAGAGAGACTAATAATATGAAGATAACTAATGCAAAATTAATAAAACCTTAAGCAAACGCATCTTTGCTTATATTTATTGGGAAGAAATGGCTCAAAAACAACTCTCAATAATAATAATACACTAAAATAATAATTATAATTTTGTAATAAATATATAATTGGTTTATTCTGGTTATTTTTGGGCTAAAAAATCTATACTAATTTTGTGATTGCAGTCATAAAATCAAACGGCAAAAACTTACACGGAATTAGTCGTACAAAAGCAATACATTATAAATGCATGTATAGTGTAGTGAATGTATAAAAACAAACTGATAATATGTTGCGAATCCTAAGGGCATCGATGACTTGAATGAAGTTCATCTCCAGTCCCAGTCTCTGGTCATTGTCCTTAAAAAGCATACATTTATGTAATTTCAACATTTTTCGCAATATACTGTATATACAGTTATATATACACAGTATGTGTATTACTACTGAACTTATAATCTAAATACTGATAATCAGGTTTTGATTTTCATAATTACTTTATTATTATTATTATTTATCACAATTTTGTGCTCACTTTCAATATGTATGCAAAGTTGTTGGTTGTTTCTGTTGGTTAGTAGAGTAACCACACGGTATTGTGTCTGTATATGTGTTTATATAGATTTATACTGAATTGAATGATAATTATGGAAATGCGGTGGTGACCCCGGTTCAATTTATTATTATACTTTATTATAATGGGAATAGCATTTGATTTATAACTGCTTTCAATGGAATTCAATTAAAATGTGAATTTTTTGAAACTTTGTATTTTTAGATAACATAAAAATATATGTTTTGAGCGTTATTTTAAAAATACTAAATGTTTTCAAATATCTTTGTATGTTTGTGAATTCATGTTATCTATAGTAACAATATAATTATTTTAAATTCACCACATTCTCAAAGCGTGATTTAAGCATTAAAATACATGTAAATAGTATTAATGATTTACAAAAAATATATACAAAAAATGTATATTTATATAATTAATATACATTTTATTTTTAAACAATATTTTATTAGATAAGCGATTCTATCAAATGTTTAATGAATTTAAATAATATTTCTTGATATTAATTATTAAGTTTTAAATATAGATTAAAAGTTTATTTCTCATAAAATTTTGTTTTATATAAATTTCTAATAATAAATTGCATTTTCAATTTATAATTAGATTTAATTCAATAGTTTTTATGATGCATCTTATAAGCATGTTGATGTCAAGTGTTTTATTTATAAGCTACACTGCTTTTTTTAGGCCTGACAGGCCTAAAGTATATAATCTCGTCATAGTAAAATTACTATTTTTTCTAATTTAAAACAGTCATGTTTATAAGTATTATGTACTTGGCAAAATTTATAGGTATACGTGCTCGTATCCTTCACTGTTCTAGATGCACTGTAAATACAATATATTGATAATTAATTAAGCCGTTTATATCAACCAACTTGCTAAAAACAAAATCATTTAGATTGGACAAATGAAAAAATTATGCAATAATAGGTTCTTATAAAATTGAGCATGGAAATCATTAATTAAACATCATTATTGCGATCATATTTTATGCATTCATTATAATTAAATTTTTTAATAACCATCGTTGACATGTGTCTATCATTATTAATGAAGTATATTTAAAGCAAATTAAATATAATTCATTAAATAATATATTTACCATAATAATGTTTAACAAATTTTTAATTATTTCTAAAACTGTTTACATTATGTAATTAATTTTATTGTATTGTATTTATTGTATTTGAACATATTCACCTGCTCACTTTTTAAACACTCAATACAATAAAGATAAATGGTAGATTAGTTTGATTTTGTTATCCACACAATATACTTTATACTGTATATTTACAATCAGCATAATGTATTTAGTGTGCCTAGACTTATCACGATCATTTCTACCTAATTAAATCACTAGGAAATATAGACATTATTAGTATGATATTATCAGTTGTTTATAACAAACTAGTTCAATTGTTTTCGCAACCATTTGAACGTGATATATGCAATAATTGGGTATAGATTAAGCATTTAAATGTCCGGCTTGGTTTTAGTGCAAATGAACAATAATAACTAGTAAATACAGTATAAATAAGGCCAAATTGATCTCAATAATATAATAATTAAATAAACCCCAATGAAAGTTGTGTTATTATTACTGGTGTCGGCTCTATATATGTGCGGCACTGCCGGTGCCGACGACTGGAAGCTCGTGTGGGCCGACGAGTTCAATGGGAGCGGCGTTTTGAACGATTGCGACTGGAAGTACGAAATGGGAGGCGATGGTAGGCTAACCATGGGCATATTTTGCATTGATTTAAACTTGATACTTATTATTTACCAAATAGGTTGGGGTAATAATGAGCTCGAGTTTTACACATCGCACCGACCGGAGAACGCCCGACAAGAGAATGGACTTCTGGTGATGAAAGTGAATGTAGAGCCCTATGGGGGCCGTCAGTTCACTTCTGCCCGTGTTATCACAGCCAAGGCCTGGACGTACGGCAAGTTCGAGGCGCGCGCCCGACTCCCTAAAGGCAAACAGTTGTGGCCCGCCATATGGATGATGCCTCAGAACAGTTACTATGGGGTTTGGTATGCATGCAAACAACAATTTAACATTTAACAATTACTCAATTTGCAAATATATCAAATGCTTTTCATAAAAAACATACTAAATATTAAGACATGACATACACTCGAATTCAATTGCTATTAACTCAGGAGCAAATGCTTTTTACTTACGGTCAAATCATTTTTGCGTTCAGTCTATTCATTATTACAGCAGTGAGTGTTGTATGCAATCAATGCGACGTTTCAT